TTTTGTCGTCTTCACTCTGCTCTTCACTGCATTCTACCAACCCAACCCTAAGTTCCCACTATCACCTAAGTAAGCCATCCTCAACTAGTCAGTGTCCTTCCACATTTTCACTGCTATTGACTTAATCTTTCATTAGGACGATGTAGTCATCCATAGGCACACATATATACACAAGGGAAATAGAACTTATATAAAAAGTGCATGGTTTTTAGTCTCTGTATCTTGTTCCTTTCACAAGATGCTTTCTGGAAATCCCTCTAACTCACTGGCAGTCTTCTAATTCATCCATTCTAATGGGTGCTCAATCTTCCCTGATGTGGAATATTCAGAACTCACTCAGCCACTCACCATGACTGTTTTCACTGGGGTTCGAGCTGTTTGACACTAAGAAGAACGATGCCATTAATATAAAGCATCAGAAATGCCAGTAGTACCATGAGTTCCATGCAGGAAGCATCTAGTCTTCCTGAATTATCTCCTCCTTGGGCAACAGGGAATATTCAGGCTGTTCAACTCCTGCTTAGCTAACTTGTTGGTCAAAGAGAATGATACATTTTGGTAAGGCAAATATCAAATTTCCCTTCAGAAACCCAAAGATGTGAAATCCAAATTCTTCCTGGGATCTGTGACTTTCCAGTATCCCCCCGCCCTGCCTCCCCCAACACTATCCAACCCATGCAGGGGAAATCTTTTCGTGGGTCTCCCTGCTAAGACCATACCAGAAAGCAAGGCTTCATTTGCACCAAAAAGCCAAGGGGAGGGAGGGAAGGAAGGCATTCTCAGGGTCAATTCAGACTATTCCAAGTCCATCTAACAGTTGAATGCACTGCTATGAAACCTACCTCAAACACTGGTTCCAACAAAGCTCTTCTACTGTATATTTAAAGCAGAAATGTGATGACACAATGCCAGTTAATTAACTTAAAATCAGAGTACTGAAACAAACAAACAAATATTTAGTGGAAAACTACTCAGTTCCCTGCTCTACCTGCCAAGGTGAACTTAGGACAGGACAGTAGGAGATAAGATGATTAAACAGATCATGCTTTAAAATGTTTACATGGAAAATGGCTTCATAACCAAGACAGAATCAAGGAATTCTCTCTTGGCTTCTACTATTTCATGTTAAGCCACGAATGTACGAATCCTAAAAGAAATATATTTACATTAAAGCGTACCAGTCTAATTGTATACCTACTTTAAAATTTTTATAATTTTCAGGCCAGGTGCGAAGGCTCACATCTATAATCCCAGCTACTCAGGAGGCGGAGATCTGAAAGACCACAATTTGAGGCAGTTCAGACAGAAAGTTAGCAAGACCCCATTCAACAAACAAGCTGGCGGTTCACAACCGTAACCCTAATTATGCATGAGGCATAGGAAGGAGGATCATAGTCTGATCCTAGCCCCAGGCAAAAGTAAGACTATCTGAAAAATAAATAAAAGCAAAAAGGGCTGGGGGTAAGGTCCATGTGGCAGAGTGCCTACTAGCCCTGAGTTCCCATGGGCTGGGGGGGGATAAATTGGAAGACATAATTTTCAAAATATTCTTTTTGGCTCAGTATGTGTGTTAATGTGCGCTTCTTTTAACTTTACTACATATTTTGTTATTTTCAAGAGTCTCAGCTAGCACTCTACCTTATAAAATATTGAGTCTCTTTTAAGACAAAGATACCAGTAATTACTCAATTTGGATAATCAACTTTGTTGATACCTGGCAGAATGATTAAATATAAATTTACCACATACAGACACCTTATTTAGCACTACCATATACATAATGCTACACTTAAAAATGCTCAGTATTTAGCTGGTAATCACTACATAACTAATACACATTTCCCCATACTTCCGGAGTGCTGACATGCATTCTAGTATCACCCAGGGGAGCAGTCCTCGCAGTCATTGCACAGCCTGGATGAGAAGCACCCTGCAGTATCAATGTGCTTATCAGACGGAGGCACCCCTGCATGGCCTTGCCAGAAATATCTCCCACATGTGGTTACCCCCTTGTGGCCTCTTTTTTTGTTTTGTTTTCTTGACAGAGTCCATGTAGCCCAAGCTGGCCTTGAACTCAATCTTTCTGCCTCAGCCTCCCAGTGCTGGGATTACAGCTGTGGCATCCACATTAGGCTTTCCCTGTAGCCTCTTTATTTTGTAATCTAGCAGGCAATTTGGATCCAAATGGCTAAGAAAATATGCATAACAGTATTGTATCCAGTACAAATGAACAAGAACAAGTATTACTTGTGGGTGCTAAGAACAAAGTTTTATGGCAGCTGCAATATGCCCTCAAGAAAACTGTCATGGAAACAGGGTAGAGATCAACAGAAAATTAGATTGGTAAAGGTCCTTTGACTTTATGAAAAGCATCATAAATATAACCACAGCCTACAACAAATGACTAATAATTGTTTGACTCACCAGTGGCATTTTATGAGAGGTATTAGAAAAATACCTAAAAGTAAATGCCAGTGTAAGACATCAGAATCATTTTTCTACAAGGCCTCTTCTATAATCATAACCACCTCACACAGGGTTGATTATTAGCATTATGGTTTTTAGTGGCACATCCTCCTCCCTGCCCCCTCCCAAGGGACATGTCTCTAAAGCCACGGGGAAGAAAAAGAGAGAAGGAAGATGAAATACTACCTTTTATTTTCTCAGGCACACAGTGATTTGGGATACCAATTATTGAGAAATTTTACTGACTCACCTTTAGAATTATCTACTTTTAAATCTTCAGCCACCTTTGAAAATAGCTTCCAGCAATCATTTACAGTTCAGAAGTACCAGGTTATAATTTAGTGGTGGAATAAGGTAACAGTTTTTGTTCACTACTTGAGTTTATTTGAACTCCTAAGTTTTCATTATCCTGTAGAAGTCATTTTTCTTCATTTCTAATGGTTTTTCAGCTTAATGCAATGACCTTTATGAAACTGTACCCTAACTACTTTATTACAACAAAAATCAGCAACATCCAATCTAAAAGCCAAACAGGGTTATACTGATCTTCATTGTGCCGTAACAGTAGCCTCTGGCTAAAACAATATTCCACCACCAAGGCCTTCAACCCAGGTCAGGACTGATGTTGCTGAGGTCCATGGGAGCCTCTTTTTCTCTTAAATGTTACTTGTTTGTGAATGGCATGGATTTATCTGCACCAACCTGGCAATCATCTACTGACCTTCTCAAGACACTTCTAAATAGAGACAGCATCACAGATATAACTCACAAATGTTAAGTCAGAGCCCCTCCCCAGAAGAGTCCAAATCACCATCGCACATTAACAAACACAGTAATGCTGGGGATATGCATGCCTCAACCACTTAGTTCAGGGCAACGAGGAATACCTACTAAGCTTCACAGCTTCACAAGGAAGAAAGTGTCATATAGTCTTCTAGTTATCCTTAGAAGGGAAAGCGACCTTAGAAAGGTTTGTAGCATGTTACACAATGCATGCAGTGGGTGTGTAACTGGCTCTGAATGAATCCAGTCACTTATGAATATATACTCAAAATGAACATTCTAGTGACAGAGACTTGGTAATATTATTTTCACAAAACAAAGAATACAGATTTCAAGTTATCTCACAAATCAGATAATCAAATAAAAATGAACATAAAAGCACTTATTAAATTTACTATATACATTTTTTAAAGAGGTACTATTTTAATTTACATAACAAACTTTGGCAAAAATAAACAAAATCATTAACAATAGACCCAAAAAAAGAAAAAAACTAAAACAAAACACACTAGAAAAAGGCTCAAAGAATTAAAAATTGAACATACTTTCACCAGATTTGGAAACTAGGTAGATGTATGCTTTTCCAAGTAAATATAAAGCAACTTTATTCTGTACTTAAACAGTATGAAACATTCAGAACACATGTCTATAAATATGCATGACCGTAGGCACTTCATAAATATATATGACTGGAGGCAATATTTAGGCAACATGAAATCATCCTTAGAAATGTGCTCTTGCCATAAGCCTGAGGTGCAAGGCTAAAGAGGGAGTGATCAAGGCATGGCAATGCTCTGCCCAGTTCACAGTGAGGACACCCTAAATGCCCAGCAACCAAGTTCACCTATCAAACAGCATGAATTTAATGGATGGGGTTGTTTACTGGAGGTAAGAAACAACCCCCAGTAAAAGTACAGCTACAGATTACTAATTTAGAAATAGTCAATAGTCAGTAGTATTTTAAGAAAAAAATGGATGATTTATTATATAAAATTATGATTGGCAGAATACAGAAAAATTATTTCTCTTTTACCTTTACATATTTAGTACAAGTACCAGACAAAGTGTAACGTTTGGAAGAACTCATTACAAACTACTAAAAGGTATTCATTTGGTGAACTTATTCAAGTCACAAATGCTAAGTAAATAAACGCACTTCAAAAACACATGACGTGTAAAACAAGTATGAAAACAGTAATCTCAAATGATTCCTTTAACAAAAACAAACCAACAAGAAGCATAAGAAAATGTTGCCAAGTTAGAAAGAAATGAATAAACCAAATGTATTGCTCATGGGATCATGTTTTTCACAACACTAAATAGTCAATTAAGACTCCAATGCTGTATTTCCACCAGCAATGAAAGGATCTGGAGGTCAGTCATGTGCTGTAGATCCAGGTGCCTCAGAATATTTGCACTGAAGTCTTCTGTTGTTCAAAAGTAAGAGAATTTACACATCATGAAATAAAGGAAAATAATGTGAAGAGGGCAAAAACTTCTGCATTAAAACAATCAAATTCATCTCTAGCTAAGACTAAAATAATCTGATTTCAAGAATTTCTTTGTATTTTAGTTAAGTCAGGTCAAAGATTTTATCCTAATGAGAAGGCAAATGAGAGGTTTCTATAAGTTAGAATAATCATGCCCAAAACAGAGAAACCTTCTACAAAATTTGACTACTGTCAAAATCTTTTTTGTAAAAAACTAATCATTAAGTTCAAAATTAAACTATTTTAAAAATAAATGTGATTAATGAACATACGTCATATGAATCATATGCTGAGTTATTGTATTCTATAGTCATAAGTGCTATTCATAAATACACTTTTATTCATGCTACAAGAGAAAGAATTGAGACACTTGATTTCACATTTCAGAGTTCCTGAGTCTTATCAGAGGAAAACAAGTACCAAAAACAAACCAAACTTACCTATAGTACGGCAAACAATACAAAATCTGGGCATTACGTATTCTTGTATTTATACTTTTAAAGCTGAAGACTATGGGGACAAGTATATAAGTACTCCAATGGAACTATAAATGTGATTTTAAAGCTTGTTTTGTTTTTTAAAAGGCGTTTTGATTAAACAAGGCCACCTGAGTGACAACTTTAATGATGGCAAGCCCACCATTTTAAAGGAATATCTTTATTTCAAAGCCTAATTATGAATATAAAAAGGAAAAAAGTATTTCAATAAAATGTTTTAATAACATTGCAATGGGACAGCCCTTAGATGAAAGACTAAAAAGGATAAAGCCAAGGTAATCAAATTAGAACAGAAGTTCTAATTTTGAGTCACCACCCTTAAATAATTTCCCTTTTTGCTTTGCATATTATACAGTGAAAATAAAAAGGTATCTTAAGAGCACTTCAGTCCCACAATGTAGGATTTAAGCTTGTGTGAAAGGTATAAATGGCCCCGCAACAATGTGATGCTTTTGAAAATACATTCAACTGAAAGTCAGCATGTTTTCTAACAAGCAAGGAAAGGGAAGCAAAGTGGTCCCACTTGAAACAATGAAACAAAACAAAAAATATCAGTTATACCTTCTGGAAAAACTAACTAAGTGAAGAACATCCAATAATATTACACATTTAAACAGCATACTTTTACTCATCTTTATAAAGCAAAAGAGATGCACACAACTATTCGTGGACCTTATAAATAAAGACCCTCAGCAAAAAAAAGTATCTGGGTTATCACTCTGTTCATAAGTGCCCAGCAATAAAACAAAAGACACTAAAGTGCAGACCTACAGGCCATTACAGGCATGAGAAAGAAGTACAGCCAAAATTGCATCTACGTTTACATTTACACATCCAGAAAATGATTCTTGCTTTAAAAAAATTGTGCAATTTAGAAACTAGTCAGTTTCGCTTGTGCCGTAATACAAATAGAATTTGTGTCTGCCCACTAGTAAAGTGACTGCTAGGCCCTGGACAGCACACTAGGCTCTTGATAATCACACATTTCATAAGAATCACACAATATTGATTCCACCTCCAGAAAATGTTAGGGTCCTCTTGTTGTAGAATGAAGAGCCACTGGTATTTGGTTGATTGCCTTTAACCAAAGAGGTTTTCAGTTCCATTTCGCAAGCTACAATAGCTGCATTCAACTCCACTTGAGCTCGATGAACTACATAAAACATGAGGCCTATACTTATAATAATCTGTGGATAAAAACAAAGTATTAGTTGCCAACATTATATACAGAAAAAAGAAACAAAACCAATAAATGTTTGGCTTAGAAATGCTTCACCTACGATGTTTCTTATATGGTAGGTAAGAGGTTATACTTTTTAAGTAATTTAGGCAGTTATCATTTATTCTCTCCTTTGTTGCTTTTCCCATGAGGGAAGAGGTTAAAGTCTATGAAAAACTATTATATGGTATCATGTAAACACACAACGAACATACATCCCTTCTGGTTCAAATAAATGGATGTTTAATTGATACAAGTCAAACTTGTGCCCTTCAAAGGACAAGCTTTATTGGTACAATTATCTTCCCACAATTATAAATGTCCACAGGTACTTCTAAATTCAGAAAACTGAGTTTAGAAATAAACTCACTGCCATTTGCAAATGACCAACTGATGCAGACAAAATAAAGTGTGTAAGAACCCCTTTAGGAAATGAAATGCCAATACACTTCAAAAGAAATTAACAAAAGATTGGGAACATGAAATTCTCTGTACTTAAGAAAACATGATGATGATTTTTTTAAAAGGCAGTCAAAGGGTATCAGAGAAAGCATCATGCTGATTAAACTGAAAGCTAATTCTAGTTTTGGTTTAGCCATGTACTCGTATTGTGATTTTAGGAAAGTCCCTTAAAAACTTGGTCTTCAGTTTCCTACTGTCTAATAGGAATATGATTCATCACACCATCTAAGCAGTATACATCTTCTAAATGATTTTTACCCCAAAGTTCATTTGCAAATCAGTTCTTTAGGTTTGGAACAAATATAGCAGTTGTTGTTTACAAAGGTAGCTCAAACCAAAATTGATTCTGCAACATAACGCCCTACCCTAATTAAAAACTGGAGAAAGTATCCTAAATTCAAGTGTTGAGGGGGTAGGGAAGGGAGGGATAGGCCAGAACACTCTGGGGGTGGGACAGGGAGGAGGAACCCGGAAGGAGTACCACTAAGTGAATACTCATTACAGTAAAATTCTAAGTAACTTAGATATTATAAAGATGGGGCTTTAAATCTTGTAATTTTTCTCTAATGTGTTATTGTCTTAGATTAGGTATGTGTATGAATGAGATGTTAAATTTTATTTAAGTCATGGTGACTTTGAGGTGCCTATGAGACATTCAGAATATTTCAAAAAAAATGAGCCAGAAGCTATGGAGAGAGAGGTGAGCGGAAAATGTGTGTATGGGGAGGGGACGGGTATGCAAATAAATATAGTAGTAGCCACCAGTTGCTGTATTTGCCAAGAAAAAGTTTTCAGCCTGAGATACAAAGCTTAGGCAAGAATATTCAGAAATAAGGACTTAAGAGGTGAAAAAAAAGAAGATAAGCATTAGAAGCAAGTATGTTGAGGGAGTGCAGTGGAGGAAAAATCAAGACAGTGGTATTAAAGAAACAAGGGGAAGAAAGTTGTATTAACGAAGGCATAGTCAGCAGTCTTAAATGGCTAAAATGTCAAGTGAGATTGAGAACTGGAAAGTACACCTGAATGAGACAAAGTTAGTGATGATCTTAAGAGCAGCTGGAGGGAAGGACAGGGCAGGTCTCTGAAATGAAGTTTAGACCCAGTGAAAAACTTGCCCAGGCCCCCAGCAAGGGTAAACTCTCCTCTGAACATGGGGATGTCTCAGCTGCTATTCTGGATTCCCAAGGTCTGACAATTTATACTGACCCTCTCCAACATGCCCTCATTATTCTCTTCCTTAACTTGGTTTAAAAAGAAACAAGAAGCAAAAACAAAATCAGGAACAGGAAGTATAGACAACTAACTGTTTGCTTCTCATCCCCTTCTGTTAAGGAAGAAGAAAAGTAACCTGTTAAGAAAAAGGAGGGAAGTTCAGGAAGGAATCACAATTGGGAAAAGAGTAAGGATAGCTTTAAGATAATTATTTTGAGGAAACGGCAGGGGAGTAAGAAAACAGAGGAAGCAGTGAGGATGTGGGGCAGTGCCTAGAGATCAGGGAAATGAAAGATTACCTACCTGTTTGGTGGTACAACTGCACCTAAAAGAACAGGTGCCAAGGATACCAAAGTTGGATTCATGCAGAACTGGAGTTTTGGTTGGTGGGAACAGAAAAATATAGGACGTAGAAAACAATAACTAAAGAGACAATCTAAGTTGCACGTCAGTACAAGAACAGTTGTAGCAAAAGGTCTCATGCCAGAGTAGGCTACACAGTGGAAAAGAAAAAAGGAAAAGAAAAGGAGAGAGAGAATACAGTTGTGGCTTCCTCCAAACATCTATTTTGTCATGCTTCAATTTTTCTGATGGTATAATATTTCTCTTTAGGTGGGTGGCTGTTTAGCTACATGGGAAACTTCCAGCAAATAAGAGGAAACTTGTAAATACACTCTATTTTTCCCATGCTGTTTCTCTCTTTTTCTTCCCCTTCTTTTTTATTCTTCTTTATATATTGTATAAGCTGCAATAAGTGCTTCCTAAAACAAATTTAAGCTGTAACAGCAACAAATCAAACCAAAGCATAAATCTTCATTTTTGTTTTTGCTGAATGCCTCAGGTAAGAAATACTTGTCTTTTCTTTGCTGTCTAGTATCTTAGGTATAAATTTGCCAGCTCAAATAAAGGGATAAGAAATCACTGGATTAAAGGTGATCCTCTTATTGAAGAAGCACCAGGAACTCCACTGATTAAAGTTTAGTAATTTACTAAGATGCATAGAGATATAAAGTTTCAAGTGGTGACAATCCTCTGTAAGTTACTAATGAAGGATTCTAATTACTCCAGCATAATGTCAAAGAAAGCAAAGATGTTTCAAAAGTCATTTTTCTGAAAAAACAAAATATGCTTCAATTTATATTAAAAATTGATCTGAAAATGCAGTGTACATGAGAATCTTTACCTTGGGATGGACATAAGCACTGTTCTCACATACTGTAGATACAATGCATAGGAAGTTTAACATTATTAGCTAGCATGCTATATTAATATAAATAAACCAAATATAACAAAACCTCTAAACCTAGATGTTAGTTATTTAAAGAAAATACACACCTAGGAAAAAATTAGTGAAGGACAATAAATAGGCTTTTATAAATGTCAAAAAGCAAGCCCATCAAGGTGAAAATTCATTATTTAATTCGAATGAAAATAATCCCTGCAAAAATTCTACTTTTATCATTCTTTTTAAAAAGAATTCTCAGTAAGTATCAGTTCAGTTCTACATACATCCAAAAACCCATACAATTAGAAAATATTATCAACATATGAATTAGTATTGAAAGAAGGAAAGATATAAAAAGGAAAAATCCTCAAATTATGTTCAATGAAATCTATTAGGTTTAAATCAGCAATACAATATAAAAAGAAAAAAAAAGGGTAGGGGGAGATAGACACAACCCTTGGCTTTAAACTCACCTGTAAACAAAAAACAAAATATCCACTAACACTCTGTTCTGCAATGACATCTTCCATTGTCCGCAGGGTGGTACCCAAGTAAGAATTCAGAAGCTGAGTGGGAAGCAGTCCAACCGAAGATGCCATCAGATAGTTGGGTAATGAGAGATCAGTAATCTAGAAAGCAGATTAAAGGGAATGATTCATTATCAAGTGAACTAATGCAAAAATGTGTAAGTATTGGTTATGGTTTCTCTTGGGAATGGAAAGAGCTGAAATACAAAGTATTCTGACCGTAAAGAACGATAATCAAGGAGATAAATCAAGGCTGTAGATTTAGGATGAAATAAAAGTTTAAAGAAAAAAAATTTTTTGTTTTTTTTCAGTACTGGGGTTTGAACTCAGGGTCTTCACCTTGAGCCACTCCAACAGCCCTATTTTATGTGAAGGGCTGAGATAGGGTCCCATGAACTATTTGCCCTGGCTGGCTTGGAACCGCAATTCTCCAGATCAATGCCTCCTAAGCAGCTAGGATCACAAGCGTGAGCCACTGGCCCCTGGCTAGAGAAAATTTTAATACTCTTATTATTCTACCACTGCATGAGCACTATTTTTTACATACAAATAAAATCCACATACAGATCACTTTAGGAAATTTTTCTAAGTCTCTTTCATATCATTAAGTACTCATAAGTACTTTTTTTGAAGTGCTAGGGTTTGAACTTGGACCTTGGGCTTCAAGCAGATGTACCATGTGAGCCATACCCCAGACCTTTTGCTTTATTTTTTCAAATACAGTTTCACAGTTCCACGGCAGCCTCAGATGGGATCCTTCTACCTTCACCTCCCTAGTAGCTTGGATTGTAGACATTCACCACCATACTCACCTTGTTCTTGAAATCGACTCTGCTAACTTATTTGCCCAAGCTGGCCTTGAATCTAATCCTCCCAACTCCATCTCCCACAGTGCTAGGAATACAGGAATGTGCCACTATTCCTGGCTCATAAGCATTCTTAAATGGCAGTGTAGTTGCTGTGCTCTAAATCCAGATAACCCTGGAACAGCATTTCAGTGTTGAGAAATGAGCTGAGTGCATTTTCCCATCTGTAACATAAAAATAACCACAAAATCTGCATCGCTTCCTTTGTGTCTATGTGACTCTTTTTCTTGCTATTAAGCACACATACTCACACACACAACTATAGTGAGAACCTCTGTATATTAACAGGTGTGGAAGGGAGCATCTAAAATATCCCCAGTGACACAATTTGCTGGTATTCATGTCATGTGAGCCTTTCCCCTACAATGTGGGCTCCATCTACTGCTTACTTCTTAGCAAATGGACTTTAGAAGGAGTGAGAAGTCACTTCTCACAGAAAGAAGGTCCTCTAAGCTCTTCCTTGAGCAGGTCAACTGCCACACTGTGTTAGCCTTTTCGAGAGGCCCACATGTAAAGGAACTGATTTCTTCAGCCAGTCACCAGCAAAGCCCTGAGGCCTGACAACAGGAACCAGGGAGAGCCTGGAGGTAGACTCTGCCAGTCAAGCAGTCCTGGCCAGCAACTTGACTGTGGATTGTGAGGGCACCTGGGTCACAAGCCCCAGGCACACTGCAGGGGATTCCTGACCCACAGAAACCATGGGACAATGTTTGTTGTCTACATTTTGAACTGACCTGCTGCACAGCGATAAAGGACTATACTTTAGGACACATCACTAGGAATGGAATTACTAGCTCCAACAGTAAAAACTTCAGTCTGTTTCATAATGCTCATGCTAATTATATGTCAGCAATAATATGAGAGTGTCCAAAGCACTCTTACTAACTTTAAGCAGTAAATTTCAGTCTTTTGTAGTCTGATATGGTAAAAATCATTTCATTATTATTTAATTTGTACTATTTCACTGATATTGACACTAATTTTCTACATGCATTTTTCTATTTCCTTTTCCTTATGGTTTTATTTGTTCATTTTTGCCTTTTTTCTCAGAACATTAAATGTTTTTCTTATTTATTCATAAGAGCTCTTTCTATAGTAAAGATAACCTCTGGCCTGTAACATGCAGTATACATTTTCCCCCTGAAGTGTCCCTGGTGTTTTTTTGTTCTTTTCCCCTTTTCTTTTAAGCCATGGTCTTACTATGTTGCCTTGAACTCCTGGGCTCAAGTGATCCTGCCACCTCAGGCTCCCCAGTTGCTAGGGCTACAAGTGTGCACCAGTGTATCTAGCTCATGTTTTTATGTTTTGACATACAAAGGTTCCTAAATGTCTATATTATCAAATACTAACTACTTTTTTCTGGATTTTCCATTGCTTTTAGTTTTAGAAAGTCTTTATAGATTCCATTGGTAGTTTTTAAACTATTTTTTTCTAATTATTTTCCATCTTAATATTTACCAGTCTATTCATTTTTTAATTTATTCAAATCAAAGGTGAGAATTGAGTCTTATTGTTTCCCAGTAGCCAACTTTCCTAGTATTATATATGAGATAATCAATAGTTTCTCTATTGACTCATAAATGAAGCTGTTTATATAAAAGGGCCTGTTATGGGAGCTATTACTGGCCATCCCGATGTCAAATCTTTTACTGAAAGCAAAACTGTAGTGAAGATTATCAGTTAATATATAGCAAGGAATTTCCTACTCCCTTCAGCCCCGCCTTCATTACTTTTTCAAATTGCCACAACTCACTACTTACTCTTCAGATCACTTTTTCTTTCAAAAAGAAAAAGAAAAAAAAAAACAGTAAATTTCTTATTAGGATTACGGCAAGTATACAAATTAATCTGGGCAGAGATGAAATATTCACAATATTCAGCAGTCTTCCCTAGAAATGTATGTGTAATTACTCAAGATTTTCTCCTATACATTTTACTAAAGTTTGGTTTGTTTTGTTCATATATATAATGCATTTCTTCTTAGTTTATTTCTGAGCATTTCATGTTATTGTTATTATTACTCCTACTAATTTTGAAAATAACCTCTCCATACCTCCAAATTACTGGTATGGAAGAAAGCTATCAGACACTTTATTATAAACTTTTTAAAAACTAACTTTAAAATCTGTTATTTTAATCAGCTATAGACAGTTATTCTGTAACTATAATCTAAGCTAATAACCATGCAAATCATAATTTCATTAAAAGGATATTCATTGCTATTCACAGATGAACTGGAGATGTGGCATGCTGATTTGTAAGGAGTATTATAGCAATCAGTGGCTAACAATTCACCTTAACAACCTCTGACTTAATAACTGTTCATGCAAAATGCTCCAATAGGTGCTGGACAGAGATGGAAAGTAAGATGCAACACCTACCCTTGAAGGGTACCTCAGACATAGGAAAAGAAGCCCTGAGAAGGACTATGTGCAGAGCATTAAACAGTAGAAAGGAATTAAAATTATTTGTATTAAGTGAGGGCAAAAGGGAAACTGTGGAAAAGCGGCACTAAAAACTAAGCATAGGCTTGGCAAACAAAGATGGGTATGATGAGGAAGGTAAATGTTCTAGGAAGAGAAAGAACAAGAACAATGTAGCAGGGGAAAGTGTGGGCATATTAGAGAAGTTAGCAGAATTGTTTGAGGAACATGCAAAGTAAAGACAGGAAAAGTAAGTAGGGTGATACTTGTCAAGGGCCTTGGATAAAGAGTAAGCCTCTCAGCTCAGAGGAAAATTGCTGAGGAATCTACTTACAAGAGCAGAAAACTTTCATTAGAATAAATAGGTCAAATGTATATAACTAGCAAATATGACAAATATGAATTATTAAAATTCTATCTTGTGATTCATACAAATTATTATGATGGAAGTTATTATTAAAATAAATATTAATGTTACATTCTAAATGTCAGGGTTTGAAACTTCGGTCCATAGTTTAAATATAATGAAGCATCTCAAAACAGAACACATAATTGACAGTAACAGATGACAATGATATCCAAATGGAAATATTAAAACAATTTCACAAATCTGAACCATCTCTGACACTCAGCTCTTTAACATGACTATTGTCCAATTCATAAGGAGAAGCTTATCAAAGCTCTCATGGCCAAACATCATCCTAGGGAAAAAAGTTGTTATTATTTACATACATTTTCTTATTGTAAAGCTGTATATTAAAGGGAACAAAAACCTAAGCTTAGATATTATTGTAAACAGTTTTGCTGAAGTGTTAAATGACTGAACAAGGAACTGTTCAAGTATTCCATGATGACTGAGTAACAGTACAATAATATACACAATTTTTAAAATATTTTTAACTTCACTAATGATAGACAGATTCAAAATTATTTTAATGTAGTGTTTCCTATAAGCCAAAATCCTACTTATAACTTCCACCTAGCACTAGTCTTGACAGACAGAATTTAGAGTACTTATTCCCAAAATGATTCCCCCAATCTTCTTTCCCAAGTAAGCCCTCACCTACCAAATTTTAAATTTTTGTCTCCTTGTTCTACCTTCCAGAAAGAAATAATAAGTATGAAGCAATCCCACTGGAATTCCTGCCTACAGGACCCTACCATCTTGACAAAGGAACTGTTGTCCAAATCCAATGAACCTGCAGAAATCCCAGCCTAGGGTATCAACATTATCCTGCTGGTTAGTGTCTACAATCAGGAGATACAGCAATGAGAGTTCTAAGGATGGCAAATACTGCCCCATATACATACTCTTATCCCCAGAAGGACTGTGATTTACCTGGAGATGCAACTCACTATCTGGGTTAGTAGGGGTTAACGTAAAACATTACTGCGCCATTATACCAAATAAATGCTGAAATCAAAGCAGTATCATTCTGGGGAGAAAATGGAAGGAGGAAGAAAAAGTCTTCTCAATTCTGAAGAACAGCTGATTCACTGCTGAACATATTTAGACCTGACAATAGTCTAGATATTTTCCATGCGGACCAAACCTGGGACCTGCATTCTTCTCAGGCACAACATAAAGTACAGCTAGCTCCTGGGGAACTCTGTCCCAGTGCCACACTTTCTGCATTTACAGATGTTCTGACACATGGCTTTACTAACTTTAACCACCTAGACACTCCATCATTTTTACATGTAATACCTTGACACAAATGTAAGAAACAATACAAAGGCAATCTGTATTCAAAAGCTCTCGATTTTTCAAATTTTATCTCTGTGAATCTATTATCTACTTCTTCTTTTTCTT